GGGACGCAGCCCTCTACCCAAGATCTCTTGAGCTTATATTGACAACATTTCATAGAAGTGGGACATTGGTTGCCATGGTTCACCTGCTTTACCTCTGGCAGGTTGGGGTGTTAGGTCTATGTTGTGTCAGGGTTGAAGATAGTCTTATGTCAAGTTTAGATTATGGATTGTATGGGATAGTTTGGATAGGAAAGATCATGCCTTAGGCAGGGGGTTGGACTAGATGACTTCTGGAAATCCTTTCCAGCCCTTCTTCTCTATGATTCTATGATGTTATTTTGCTTGTGGCAGTCTAGCTTCTCTGTAAAACATATTGACTTTTTCATCTTTCTGTCAAAGAAATGAATGGATTTGTTAACTTGTTTAAGGGAACTTCACAAAAAGTAAAAATCTCTCATTAAAAATGTTACAATTTTTTTAACTAATTCTTCCTTATACAATATGATTTTGGTCATGAGTGTTTGGTCACAAGTCAAATCCCAAAAATTCATGCAATTGGCTTCAAAATTGCAGGATAATTCATTTGAATTTAATTTCTTTTTTGTTGTTGCTGTTTCCTGGGCTTTAAGACTCTGGAGATCAAGCTTTCAAACATTTCTCTACAGCTTCAAACCTAGAAGTCCCTTTAAACAAATGAAAGTTGAGATTCTCATGCAGTCAGGGGCTTTGTAAGCTAAGGTTTTTAAGATTTCAAGTATCAACAGTTAAACACTAAAATCCTGAGACTTAGCAATACTGTACACTTTTGTTTTAAAGTTCAAATTTTCTTTTATAAGTAGAATATAGTTAGAGGTTCCAGTTCAGTGCCTAGCATTAGAAACATCGGCATTGTTCAACCAGGTCAAGAATGTCCCCCAAAAAAGGAAAAAGAATAAAAACATTACACACGCAACACCACCAAGAGTCCCAAGGTTAACAGTCAGCAGAAAATGAGCTTTGTCAGATTTCAGTGAAAGTCCGTGTGAACCAACCAAAATGGCAGTAGGCCTGAATCTGGAAATCCCTGAATGTGTATAGCATCTAAGACTCCCATGAGTCCCTGTGACTCAGTACCATGAGAAATGGGGCATTTTGAGAAACTAGATGTTAAATTGTTCTTTTTGTTGCTCTGCAAGTAATTTAGTAGGCTTACGCTATAAAAATCCAGTACTTTTTAATTGACAGCTTTCCCAAGGTTTTTTTCTTAACTGAGAGCATGACTTGTGGTGGGGTGTTTTTTTTTTTAAATGAAGTATTTGGCACAAGCAGCAGACTATGTCAAATAACTCAAACAATTCATCTCAGCATCTAAGATACCTTCCTTTCATTTTAGCCTTCAAACTTGTCACTTCGTAGTGTTGGGGACTGCAATGTGAGGGGGGAAAAAAGAAAATAAGAGTTGAAGCAATATCTTGCATATTCCTTTTTAGTCATGTTTTTTTGCTGCTGAGGACATTGCTTGAGTCAGACTACTCTTTCTGTCACTTTAGACAGGATCTCCTGCTTTGAAAAATTTGTCTTTGTAAAAACAGTGAATTATGTATTGAGTTTAGGGGTTCTTTAAAAAAAATACCCTTTTCTATGGCAAAATGGCTGAACTGTAAGATCAAAAATGTGTGCGACTCCCATTAGCACAAACCAGAGTTAAGAGAGTTAACTTGCCTGCACTCACGAGAGGATATAAACCAAAAAACATATCCTCCCAAAGCATTTAATCTCTTCAGTAGATGAAGCCCCGATTTGTTATATAGAACCAATTACTTATTCAGGAACAATCTGATAATTATTTTCCACAAATATTGACACAGTTTCCTTCAATTAATTGCTGTTTCCTTATAGCTGCATTGAAGGAAATAACTCCTTACTATATCCAGTTGATCACAGAAATATGTCACTGTACTGTGAAAGGCTGTTTGATTTTCATTCACAGAAATGTGCAGTGTCCACTCTTAATTACCTGATTGGAACCACACGCATACTTAAAGTAAATATGCTGAATTGGGGCCCGTGACAGCTAATTGAAGAGTATTACTGCCAAGTATCATTACAAACACATGGTTGCTAACAGGTATCTCTTCCAGAATGTGGAATTAACTGCTATAAAATGAGTTAGCATTAGATTTATGAGAGCTGCTTGTTTCTCTTCATGTCATGTTGTGTTGTTCATAAGTTTTATTTGAAATGACTTCACACACCTTGATTTTCATTTGAAACAAGCTTTAGCTTTTCATTCTAAACCATAATGCAGCAAAGATTTACCCAGAACCAAATGAAGTTTACCAGATGAAGTTTAACACTTTCACGTGTAAGGTGCTCCACCTGCTGCCAAACAACCCGCAGCATACATAGGGGCTTGGTGACAACAGCTTGACTTGCACCATGGCCGAAAGGGACCTAGGGATAATGATTGACCATTGCATGAATGTGAGCCGTCAACACAATGGCTCAACACAGGGCAAACAACATAGTGGCATGCATCAACCGATGCATCTCGTGGAAAAGTAAGGAAGTGATATTCCCACTGTACTCAACACTGATGAGATCGCAGCTGAAGTACTGTGTCCAGTTCTGGGCGCCGCACTTCAGTAAGGACGTGGAAAAACTTGAGAGGGTTCAGAAAAGAGCCATCCGTATGATGAGGGACTTGCAAGGCAAGCATAGGAGGAAAGGCTGAGGGACCTGGGCCTCTTTTGCCTAAAGAAGAGAAGGTTGAGAGGGGACTTGATAGCGGCTTACCGCTATATCAGAGGAGTGCATCAGGAGCTCGGTGAACAGCTGTTCACTAGGGCACCCCTGGGGAAGACCAGAACCAACGGATACAAACTCCTGGAAGGCCACTTCAGGCTTAATACCAGGAAAACTCCTTCACAGTCAGGATGTCCACATTTTGGAATAAACTTCCTCCAGAGGTGATGCAGTCACCTACCCTGGAGGTTTTCAAGAGGAGACTGGACAGTCATCTCACTGGGGTCACCTAACCCCGGCTGTCTTCCTGCCTAGAGCGGGGGAGGGCTGGACCAGATAATCTGCAAGGTCCCTTCCCGCCCGTAACACTCTATGAATCTATGAAACTCTTGTAGAAGAAAAGTTCTACAATGGATAATGGGTAATAGGAAATTTTCTATACTTTTTAGTCATTGTATTTAAGTGAATTCTGGTCATGGTATAGAAATATTTAGGATTACCTGTTAAATGTCTTTAATAAGGATGTCATCCTTTCTTAGATTTTATAACAGTGTCCTGTTAGACATATATAGGTGCTTTCTGCAGGTGCTTCCATAATGGAAAGTACATGGCATTTTATAAACGTCACCAAAGTTTTAATAAACCCTAAATTAGGTGAGGTTTGGTAGCTTTTGCTTTTAGAGTGTTCCATGTCTGTGTTTAAACATTTGTCTGTTTATATACAGTATTTTAAGGACAAATTCAGTAGCTCAGCAATCCTTTTCCATTTTGGAGGAAAACACAACCAAACTTTGAATGTTCTCTGGCATAGTACACATTTGACTGAGGTTAGAGATGAGACTAAACCATAACCCCAGATCCAAACATTCCCACACTTTGAAACTGTTGGCATGCGGATCTGTAGCTGATGACTGGTCTCTGTGTGATGGAGTGACCTGAAATCCCAAAACCAATTATTTCTGAAGTTGAAGAAAATTAGATCAGCCCTCTCAAATTCGGATATGTTCCAATTTAGTTTACAAGTTTGTTATTATAAATGCTTCTGGTTCTTGGTTAATACTAACCAAGCGCAGTGATTACCAAAGGGTGTCCTATGCCATACTAAATGCTGCAAGAACAATCCCATGCACCAGTACAGACTGGGACTGACTGGTTAGGCAGCAGCTCTGCAAAAAAGGACCTGGAGGTTACAGTGGAAAGTAAGCTGAATGTAAGCCAAGAGCATGCCCTTGTTGCAAGAAGGCGAACGGCATACTGGGCTGCCTTAGTAGGAATGTGGCCAGCAGATTGAGAGGATAGATTATTCCCCTCTATTTGGCACTGGTGAGGCCACATCCAGTTTTGGGCCCCTCACTACAGAAAGGATGTGGACAAATTGGAGAGCATCCAGCGGAGGGCAGTGAACATGGTTAAGAAGCTGGGGCACATGACTTGTGAGGAGAAGCTGAGGGAACTGGGTTTATTTAGTCTGAAGAAGCAAAGACTCAGGAGGAATTTAATAGCAGTCTTCAACTACCTGAAGGGTGGGTCTAAAGAGGATGGAGCTAGACTGTTCTCAGTGGTGGCAGATGGCAGAACAAGGAGCAACGGTCTCAAGTTGCAGCAAGGAAAGTTTAGGTTAGATATCAGGAAGAATTTTCTTATTAGGAGGGTAGTAAAACACTGGAACAGGTCACCCAGAGAGGTGGTGGAAGCTCCATCCATGGAGGTTTTTAAGACCTGGCTAGACAAAGCCTTGGCCATGATGATCTCATTGGGGATGGGCCTGCTCTAAGCAGGGGGTTGGACTAGATGACCTCCTGAGGTCCCTTCCAACCCTCCTTTTCTGTGATTCTAAGGAGGTAAATGTTCTCCCCCATCCAGCACCTTGTGTCTGCCACACCTACTCCAGCAGTGCTCGTGGCTGCTCCTCTAGGGATTGCTACCACAGCTACTGCCTTCTCCCACCCCAGGCAGCCTGTGCCATCCCTCCCCCATGCTCCCAGCAGCTCACTGTGCTGCAGCTGGACACACTATTGGAGCCATGCTTTGCAGCCCAGGTCATCCCCTCCATTCCTCCCATACTGCCCTAAGTGGCATCAACTAGATCAGTGATTTTCAGGTTTTTTAGCCTCACGTCCCCTCCTCCCCCCACCCATATTTTTCCTGAATTTAGATCTACCTCAGTGATTTTCAACTGGAGTGCTGTGGAATTCAGAAAACATTCACACACACACATGCATTTTTGGGTGTAGGAGTGAAGTATGCCACCCTTTTTATTCCAGAAAAGAAAGTGTGCCCCAGGTATCAAAGTTCTGAAAAGCACTGGACTAACAAAATCCTGCTTTATTTAATAGGGGAAGCACAAACTGCACGTAAACACAGGACTGGAAGGTGAATGGTGTGGCCTCATTCCTATTGGAAACACTTGTGACAACATAACCACGACTGGCCTCAAGTGGAATCTCAGTAAGTAAGATGTCTGTTTGTTAATGCATCTGACTGCTCTGTAGCACCCTTCCGAAGCAGGAATAACTCCTTTGGTGTTGCTTCAGATTTACACTGACCTACCTGATATCAAAACCTAGCCCTGCATGTTAGAAAGTATGTTCAGGATACTAAATTTTAGCCAAACAGCTTTTTTTTCCAGCAATATAGTCAGAAAAGGCAATACATGAATTATATTTAAGCTCAAGCTATCACAGGCAGAAATGTGTTTTCCATTTGGGAATCATAGTGCTGTTTAAATAGAACATTTGTTGAGGTCATGATACATTACCATCTTGATACATTGCTCTTCAGGGAGGTGAAGTTGCAAGTGCCTGAACTCCCAGTTATATGCCATAAAGTTATGACAGAAAATAATAATGTGATACAGATTATTAAAGCTACCTCACTTCCCCTGAACTGCTTGGCATATTATAGTCTATTTGTCAACTCTGGATGAATATATCTCTTTTTTTTTCTTATTTAAAATGGAAAAGTGCATTTACTCCAGAATGGGACTGTTTGTTTGAAGAGAAAAAGACCAGGATTTCTTTTTTGACAGAAAAATAGAGGTTAGGCAATGTGTATTTATTGAGTGCGGCAACATGTATTTACTCTAAAAGATTAAGTGAATCTCTTTAGGTGAAGAGCTGTTAAGATCTATGAGGAGGAGAGAAATTTGAGAGCAGTAGCTCACAGGATATGATACATACCATGCCAGCCATCAGGTTGTAACCTTCCAGTGTGATCCATGAAAACAGGCCCCTGTGTGTCTTTCCTCTTCACCCAGTCTGGATTAGACTGCAGCATCAGGGAACTAGATTACGCTGGAATGCCCTTCCTCTGCCTTCTGGGCAGATACTGAGGGCCAGCCACTCTGCTGAGCCCTAATGAGCCTGGCTGCTGCCACCTGCCTTCTATCCAGTTTTTTTCTGCTTTAAATCTTTCTTTTAAGCTTGTAATCCTTGCTAAATTTGACCAAAACAGTCTTGAATGGCCTGCATCACTTTCAGGGTCTGGATAGCCTCAAGCTCCACTGAGGATTTGGGCAGGTAAAGTTGAAAAGTGAGGGAGCAGCAGCGTGGTTCATGGGTAATTGGGCTTCACATTCAGTATTAAATAAAGAATGAAAGAAACGTTCCAGAAGCAAAAATCGGGAATGCAGAGTTATCTGGCTGGTGCAAGGATGCTCTCTGATTTTACTAACCTAGCATGTGAGGATTGGATGTACCTTATGAAGGATCAGTGATGTCTTTTCATTTGAAAGATAATTGAAAGTATGTATTCACAGTGGTAGATACAGTGTGGTGAAGGTCCTATTAAACCTTCACCCTCCTCTGTGAAATGAGTTCTGTTTCTGCTCATAAAAGGGGAGAGGGAAAACAGGGTTAGCTAGTTAGGTGTAGCCTTAAACCACTATTAAAATACTGATACAGTCTAGATCAGTTGCATTCACAACAGCTGACATGCTTGCCTAATTGGCAGCTTCCACCCCCCTGTTAAAGTGGAAAAGGTACATTCATCCATGCCCAGGGTGTATTTTGCAGACTTCTCCGTTGCTTCCAAAGTTCTAATCTCTCATGAAAAAAATGTAGTATGAGCTGTGTAAAATATGCTAAACCGAGAAAGTTTATTAATTATCTGTCAGCCTTGTGAGAATTTGTCTTCGAACCAGTCATTGAGTAGGACCCATCAGACATGTCCTGTATAAAATAATCTGGATTTAAAACTCATCTTGGCCTTGTGGCCAAAGTTTTCAGTTTTTATGGGGATATTTGAGGGGTTATTTGACTAGCCTTTGGTTTGAAAGGAGTGGAGAAGGTTTTTAAGAGCAACGAATGTTAACAGATCCACTAATATCTGGCTCTGACCTGAAAATCGATTATGTATTTAAAGTTTGACAACAACAGTTGCTGTATTTAGCATAGCGTAACACCAGAACACCATGATGATAAGCACTGTATTGCAGGGAGGGGAGTAAAGATAAAGTTTGGGCTTTTTTAAACTCTGTTTTGTGCAGTTGCTTATTTCTTTGTGCAGGGAGGCAGTAGGCATGAAAGTGAGCTTCCTACATGTAATGTTTAAATTAATATTGCAACAGCATCTGGGTTCCTCTAGCCTTTGTTCCTTTCTTTTTTTAAGAGGAAAACCCACAGATGGCTTCTTTTGTTACTTTTCTGAGTAAAGCTCACCTTGCATTTAATTTGCCCTGAGTTAGTGTCAGTCTTACTATAAATGTTTTTCACAAATCTACATAGTTCCATTATTTATACCACAACTTCTTCATCCCTGTGGTGTAAACACAAAACAGGCTGAGACTCTCAAGGGATTCTACAAGTTGGTTGAGACTACAAGTCAATACAGCCTGGAAGTGGAAGGAAGTGACTGAACTTGGCCTTTAATTGCTTGTTTAAATTTTGGATGAGAATATTTTGCACATATTGATAAAACACAGTTACATCCTTTAAATAAGTCACAATAGCATACTTTTATGTATTTATTTGTAAACAAGCTTGAGATTCAAATGCTGATTTTGTTGAAAACTGCCGGAGGTATGTGACAAGCTTTTAATCGATGTCTTCATGGATTCTGCTTTTTACACCTCTTTTAAAAATGGCAGCATCCCCGCAAAGTGCAACACAGGCACAGAGGGCTACTTTGAGCACAAAGGAATAGGATCACTTTGCTGTGAAGTGTGAATTGCATGTCAGCATTTGTGTTGATAGGCTGCATATGGCAGAAAGGTTTGCGTGCTTGGTTGTGCATGGAATAGTGAGGAAACCCCTCCCGCGACTATCGTGCACCAAACCTGAGTAGATAAAACATTTCTGCTGTAAGCCAACCTTGACTATGGAAATGCTGAAGGAAATGACATTGTTCAAGCTAAATGAGACTCAACAGGCCTTTTCCTCCATTTGTTAAGAATTAGTAGAAAATGACTTGAAAAGCTTGAGTTGAAAACATAATTTCTGAACCATGCAAGATTTAATTATACTTGAGACCTTTAAATGAATAATTTGGAAAACATGATGCTATATCTAGACAACTCTGAGCATCTATCTGCGAGAGCAAACCTGATCCATTCTGTGACATGTATCATAATACAGATACTCATTTACAAACTTTTAAGCCTTTTTTTAATTCTAACTTTCTCATATCATAGTATACTTAGAGCAGGGGCGGGCAGTTATTTCGGGCAGAGGGCCACTTACTGAGTTTTGGCAAGCCATCAAGGGCTGCATGACAGGCAGCCAGGGGCAGATAAATATTAATTTTCTACATTTTTTAGGGACCCTGCGAGCTGGATAGAATGGGCCAGTGGGGCTGCATTTTGCACACCCCTGACTTAGAGCCTTCTGTATGAATTAAATACACTGTTTGTATATTAGTAGTAGGCAATTCTCAATCCTTCTGGATCATGGTGTATGTGTGAGAAGTTACCAGGTTACTGGATGCAGGGAAAGCAGTGGACATGATATACCTTGACTTTAGCAGTTCTTTTGATACAGTCTCCCACAGCATTCTTGCAAGCAAACGAAGGAAAAACAGGTTGGATGAATGGACTGTAAGGTGGATAGAAAGCTGGCTGGATTGTCAGGCTCAGTGGGTAATGAACAATGGCTCAAGGTCTAGATGACAGCCAGTATGAAGCAGAGTGCCCCAGGGATCAGTCCTTTTCAATATTTTGTTCAGTATCTTCATTAACAATCTGGAAGGTGGGATGGAGTGCACCCTCAGCAAATTTGTGAATGACACCAAGGAAGGAGGAGTAGTAGTTATAGTAGATTCCCTGGAGGGTAGGCTAGGATTCAGGGAGAGACCTAGACAAATTGGAGGATTTGGCCAAAATAAATCTCGTGAGGTTCAAAAAGGACAAGTGCAAAGTCCTGCATTTAGGATGGAAAAATCCTGTGAACTGCTACAACTTGGGAACTGACTAGCTAAGCAGCACCTCTGCAGAAAATGACCTGGGGGTTACAGTGGACAATAAGCTGAATATGAGTCAACAGTGTGCCCTTGTTGCCAAGAAAGCTAACTGCACACTGGGCATACTGCATAGAAGTGGTGCCAGCAGATCAAGAGAAGTAATTATTCCCATCTATTCTGCACTGGTGAGGCCAGACCTGGAGTACTGTGTCCAGTTTTGGGCCCCCTACTACAGAAAGGACATTGACAAATTGAACAGCCAAAATGGTGAGGAGGCTGGAGCACATGACTTGTGAGGAGAGGCTGAGGGAACTGAGCTTATTTAATTTGCAGAAGAGAAGACTGAGAGGGGATTTGATAGCAGTGTTTAACTACGTGAAGGGTGGTTACAAACCACTGTTCTCAGTGGTAGCAGATGACAGAACAAGGAGCAATGGTCTTAAGTTGCAGCAAGGGACGTTTAGATTAGATATTAGGAAAAACTTTCTCACCAAGAGGGTAGTGAAGCACTGGAATGGGTTACCTAGAGAGGTGGTGGAGTCTCCACCCTTGGAGGTTTTTAAGACCTGGCTAGACAAAGCCTTAGCTGGGTTGATGTACTTGGGGATGGTCCTGCTTTGAGCAGGTGGTTGGACTAGGTGACCTTCTGAGTTCACATTCAACCCTAATTTTCTATTATTCTGTGACCTTTGACAAGTATGCCTTGGCAGAAGTATGGAAGAGTGGAGGCTGCACAGATCTTCCATCCCTGCTATAGAACATTGAGATAGAATCCAAAGGCCAGACCATGTTCGGTGCCTCAATAGCTGTAGTTATATTTACATCCAGGAATTGAACCCAGGTCTTCTGTATGGCAGACAAGGATTCTTCCCTTGAACCACAAAAGCAGGTTAAGCATGTACTGTATATATTCTTCTGCTAATTAAAATGTGTCAAATCAAGGTGGTAGGCAAATGTTATTTGCATCTAACCTACAGATGCTGTCATGTGACATTGTACACACTGAATGGGAAAAGACGAGGATAAATAAATACCTTAGATCAAGCCCATGCTGG